TTAATTAGATAATTAAACGTAATTAAGTGATTAATTTAATTTAATCACGAGATTAGCAATTGTTCGGATTTTATACCGAGTTCTAGTTCATGTGTGTGCGAGTGCCGTGCGAGTGTTCGGTTCGAGTCCCCGAGCGAGTGCCGTGCATGTGTTGAACTCGGTCAAGATGCGCCGTGCGCTAATGCCAAGGGACGGAGTGTCCAAGGCTCGAGAATCCGCGCCAACAAGCTAGAAGACCGTGCAGCATCCCGCGTCCGTATGCGAGGGCGGAGGTTCCGAGGGCTCATGAGAATCCGTGCCCGGCAGCATGCTAGAGGTCCGCGCATGTCAAGCCAAATGCGTACCTTGTCTTCTTGTGCGTGGGTCATGGCGGAGTATCCAATGCGAGGTAGTCCGTGCGCGTCTTGCACAAGAGTCCGTGCCGACACCTTCCTCATTGTCCGCGCCCCTTTCGTCCGCAAGTCCAAGCAACATGTGAGGGTTGCGTGAGTATCCGCGCGCCTTATTTCCCCTCAAACTCTCCGCCCATTCGGTGTTAAGTAAGGACTTGGGCATATTTTTGTTCCATTTCTCCTCCAAATCCTCTAAGGCCGAGAGAGATAGTGAGATATAGTGTGAGTTTGTGTGTGTTCGGGAGCTAGCCGAGTACCGCACGCCCGCACCGAGAGCTATCGCAAACCACGACGTACGCACGCATCACACTCGCACGCGGAGGGTTTCGACCGAGGGTTCAAGAGTTCGAGAGCTTTATCACCGGAGCATATAAGAGGTAAGTTCCACCGAGTATATGACCTAGTACATCATGTTCATGTGAGAATATATGTTTAAATGTTCATGCATGCGAGATTTTATGCGAGCCGTACCCATGCCGTGCCTTCATGTCTCATTTTTAGTAATTCACGAATCATGTTGTTAATTTCATAGAATTAACCGAGTAAAACCCTAGTACATTTAGCTTTTATTTGAGAAAATATGCTTATATGAATTCATGTATTCGGTAGAATTTAATCATGTTTAAGAAATGTTCGGCCGAAGTTAAGTGGATGCGCATATAACGCGCCACGGGCCGTGCATGCATGTCCGTTATGTTAAGTTAGCAATTCACCGAATAACTCTCGTATGTTTAGCGTTATTTTGAGATATCATGCTTATGTGTTCGGATGAATTAGTCTTGTTAGTGAGGTTGGCCGAGAAAGGGGGTGGTCGCACCCGTAGTGCGCACCACGGCCACTCAAGTTCCATTTCATGATATGTTCGAGTTTTCCGACCATTATGTGTTATTTAATTCAGAAAAATCATGTTAAGTTCAGTTACATGTGAATTGCCGAAAAATTATGATGTTCGGTCGTAAAACGGCACAATGCCGTCGGCGTGCATGGCGCCCGC